GAGAATGATATGGAGATTATTCATACCAGTGTTGGGTTTTGAAAGGGTTGATTAAAAATGAAGCTGTGTTTTTTTTGTTTTGATTTAGTTTAAGGATAGAGGTGGTACTGGTCAGTGTTGCCTTGGCATTTCTTGGTTTTGAGATGATTTTCAGTTTTGCTGCCATTTTCACTTTCAAGAGGTAAGTGCAAAAGCAGGAAAACTATTTTCCTCGCTCTTTAGAACAGTTTTGTGATTTTTTAATCTTCCAATAGAGAGATTTCTTTAAAAATCCAGGACAGATACACACAGTGGCTGTTTTCTGACTGTGCGTAGGCAGATTTCTTAACTCTCTCTATATTTGTTGCTTTTAGACACCAAACTATGCTGAGGTGATGTTTGCAGTTTTTCCAACAACGAGTTGACAAAGTCAAGAAAACATGTACGTAGGACTTAGAACTTCATCAGTGATCAAGGTGTTTAATTTTTTGCGTGGCGCCCTCATTTTACAAATTACATTTGACTTATGAATTGTAGCCCTTAGCTACTGTGTTGCGTATCTATGCGTTTGACCCCAAGAGTGACCAGCATCTAATTTCTCCTTACAATATCATCTCTAAATCGAACAGGAAGGTCAAGAGAATGGAGGAAATGATCACTAACTAAAATAGGTCTGATTTCTAAACAAATTCTCCTCGTCAGCGCCTAAAGAAATGTGTAGAGAATATTATGGAGAATATGCATGTCTATTTTAGGGTGTAAAGAGTTAAACTGCGGCTAGCTGCTGCTGTGGTGCAGAAAAAAACATGAGCAAAGCGGCTTTAGAAAATTCGCGTTAATTTAGGACGCGTAAATTTATGTTAGCTTTATTTCCGTGTCATGAACTGTCTCTACAATTTTCGATAACTTTATTTCCTTTATTTTCATTTCACCTCACATTTACGATACTTTTTGGTAAGTTTTGAGGACTAAGTTATTTATATCGCGTACCGCACTTTCACTAAGTTACCCTTGAAAAAAGGCTCGAAGTGGCGAGATTTCTTCATGTTAAGGGACATTCCATGAACTTTAACTGAATTGCAGATTTGTTAGTAAAGTGTGTAAATAAATTTGTCTCTGTTTTATTGAGAAGTTCTTGTTCGTTGTGCAAGTTGCGTCAGTGGGCCATTTTCGAAGTTACCTCTGGCCTCATTTTCAAAACGAGGCTTAGTGCTCAACCATTCGTATGAAAATGAGTTTAATTTGCATATGACTGAAAACTTTTAATCATACGAAAGGATGAGCACCGGGAATCGCTTTGAAAATGAGGCCAAAGGTAATTCGGAAATGAGCAATTGCCTCATGTCACAATTTGAGACTCGAAAATTGTCTCTCTTAGAAAGTAGTTTTTGTTTCAGTTAACTTTAACCCGATGACCCTAAGAGTGATTACCATCAGTGTCTATTGAAACGTTCATAAAGGGGTGAAAATTGAAAAAAAAAGTTGGGAAAAGGAAAATTTGAGACTTTTTGAACATAAAGCTCATTCGATCGCAGGCATTCTGTTGAATTACCACTTTGTTTGAGTTATACGCTTTTAAAACACCGTGGCTTACTCACTGTTGTATGAAGCTGATGTGACAGCGGTTCTGACAGCCTGGAAGCACGTTCCCTTCACGCCACGTCAGACCATGTCGTTACAACGTTCGAACATGCGCAGACACATGTATCAGACACTGACTTTGTATTCTTTCGCTCTGACGAAGGACTAATGCTGGAAACGTCTGCTTAGAAGCTCTTCATGGTGGCCAATTTACATCATCAACTCGATAAAACTAAATTAGCTTGTTCTACCCTCCGCCAATGCAACACGGTTTCTTTAGAAATTTACCCCTTTAACCATAAAAATAACAATTTCCTCGCTTGTGATTGGTTTTAAAAACTCCTATTTTCCACTTATTCGCTTGCCAAGTTTTTATCGGACAGTTCAATAAGCCAATCACATTCAAAGTTGTGGTTTAAATCAACCAATCACATTCATTTTGATTGTAGTCAATTTCAGCCGGTGCAACGTTAAACAATGAACGCCTCCTTTGTCAGTCTTTTAATTTAAATTTTCCCTTTTTTTCACAACTGGCCCGGTTATTCTTTTTTTCTAGGAAATTTTAATTTCTATGATCAGTTGGTGATAAGACTTCGTGTCGTCCAATTCGGTCTGTAATCATACGAGTGATAAACATATCGGACTCCCGCTGCGCATTCGTCCAATTTCGTTATCACTCATATGATGACAGACCGAATTGGACTCCACTCAGTCTTATTACCATTACTAATTCAAAAAAGGTGGATTCTTATACGCGGGTTTTAATTGTTCACGTTATAGTGCGCGCGCACTTTCGAATGGCAAGAGTCGTCATTGGAATTATGACGCACTTTTGTGTTTCCCTCAGGGGTTCAATTTGCTGTCGACTGAAGTTGTTTTTGACGAGTTTATAATTTCAAAGTATATATCGCTCATAAAGGTGATTCAGAAAGAGTTTAAGCGGACAGAATTTTGTAACGAAATGTCTAGTTTTCTTCCTTCAATTGATACCGTCGGCAAAAGTTCTCTCGTCGCCGCGAAGAGGATTTACTCGGCCGTTGATTGCTTGGAAGGAGCTACGAGCAATGGTCGCGGAGGGAAAAAGAAGGATAGAAGGAATCGGGCGCGTTCAATGGATGATCATACGCCTCACCAGAAATCTGAAAGAAAAAAAGAATACTCTCAGGAGTTGAGGATGCGGAAGAATAAAGCCCGAATTGCGCATGAAGAAAGTCTGGTAGAGCGAGAAAACATGAAGGTTCTTAAAGAGAGGGGACTCCGCGAGAAGAAAAGACTGAATCAGTTATTTTCAGTTTACGCTGTACAGCACGGATCCGCGTATAGAGAAAGTGCAAAAGTCGTCAAACCGAAATTTCCAGTTTTGTTAAAAAGTACAAAGAGTACAAAAACCACTGCGATGTCGCGCGAGAAAATTTCGCTTCCGCACAGCCCGCTTCCGAATTTGCCCTCTGACAGCAGAGAAGGTTCTCAGGAATAGTTTCTTACCAGGAAGAAATATCTCAATTTCGGCTGGAATCTGTCAAGAGTTTGTACTATTTAGGGGAGTATTTGGCAATATATAGAATGGAGAAACTTGCGACACACAGAAACTTCCAAGTCCTTTGTAATTTGCATTTTATGGGCTTAGCTTGTGATAGTCTTGTTTTTCTTGTTAAGTTTTGTTATAAGCATGGTTGTTAATATGGCAGCGTAAAGGGTTTTTTCTCGCTTTTGTTAATTCGTGATTAAAAATGTTTGTATGTAGGAAATTCTAAACACCTGATTTATTGATATCTGTACACCCGGCTTTTACCTCCCAGAATTCTGAAGAAACCGCAAATATTAGCCGCCTTTCATGTGCAGGGAGCGTCAAGATTTCAAATTAGCAAGAAAGTGCGATCTATATGGAGGTATCGTGAACTCCCGCAGCGAAAGCGAACAATGATTATCCCCGGTGTTAATTTATAAGTAAAACAAAGCAAGAAAAAGTAAAGAACCAGTCTTTTTTATCGGGGGGAGGGGGGGGGGGGGGGGGGGGGGGAATCGGAATATTTTGGTTGACTGATTCCCCTCCGTTCCCGATGAAAATCATGAGATCTCCCTCCCCCAAAATTCCCCAATATGTTCCCCCAGGGGGGACGGGGAGGAAGACGTCCGTGTTGCCACGCTGTACGCGGTCTCTTGTTTCTGATGTCGTGAGGACCGTAACGATGTCATACATAGTCAACTTCATAGTCGGTCTTTGATCACGTGATCTCAAAAGAGGAACGTTCCTACGATGAATATAACACCTGGAATGTGGATCACGGTATTTCAATATATGCAAGAGATAAAAAAAAACTACGTAGATTTCCGAAATATATTCCTTTTTAAGGAATACAGATAAAGCCTGAAAGATTATTGAGAAATAAAGGTTTTTACGAAATCAAGTGAATAATTATTTACACGATATTCACATTGTATGCATTGTATGCATTGCGAGCCTATTTTTATTTTGCGCTTGGAAAACTCGCGAAAGGAACTCTGGGGTAAACAAGACTGCTTTTAAAATGGCGGACAAGGGTACATTTGTTGGCGCAAGGTTACGAGTGTCCACAAACGAAGGAGATTATGAAGGAACGGTCCATAGCATAGATGTGGAAAAGAGGAAGGTTACGTTAAGTAAAGGTGAGTCAATCCTTTTCAATGATGCGAATTAGATTAGTGTCATTCGTCCTTGAACAACCTCACCGTCCAGGAAGGAATTGCGTGAACTGATTAATTTCGCAGTTAGGAATATTAAATCTTACTTTCTTGGTTTTGCATCCGCTTACCTATTAATTTCCGAAACAATTGTTTTCATTTAAGTTTATCTAAGATACATAACTGACAGAAAGAGGAATCGTGTGGCGAATGTTTTTGGTACTGTCTTGCAAACGAAATGTCAAATTGATGAGTTGTTATAATAGCACAATGTGGTCCATTGTTAGCTATGGTCGCATTACCACAATAGGCACTTTTAACAGTTTTTTACTTGCTAGAGGGAGGAAAAGATCATATATTCAGACAGATATCGCTGATCGGAGAATTCTACGGCATCTAGGCAGAATCCTCCTACTAAATTTTGATGACCTAAGCCATTTTTTTTATTCAGACGTGGAAAACATTATCATGTCACTTTAAAAATTCTTAACCCTTACATTTCCAAAGAAGCTGACAAAGAGAATTTGTTTAACAAGCAAGAGCTGCTATAGTTGGTGATCATCTCCTCTATTCTGGTGACTTTCATGTTTGATTCAGGGTTATTATTGTGAGGAGAAATTAGATGCTATTCACTCTTAGGAGCTAAGGGGTTAATAAAAAAAACCTGGTATGACGAGCCTAGAGTTACATTGCTGCTCAAGCTTACAATGCAGTGAGCAAATGAATAATGAGGAAAAAAATGCAAAGAGAGAGCTATAGTGAAACAAGATTTATTTAATTGGAGCAAAGCAAGTTCTATTCACAGGTGTGGTGGCAAAGGACTTGAAGCCAAGATCTCTGGCTTGCAAGTTCAGGATTCCTTTCACTAGTGATGTTGCTTCTACACTGAGAAGATACAACTCTCTTGAAAGGAAATCATGCTTATCTCATATTTTTATTTTAATTTGATATCTAGTGGTTTCATGCAGCACAGGAAGGAAACTTCATGGATTTCATCATTTTTTCGGTCATGAGCTAACCTCATGTAAGTGGTACCTGCAATAATAACATTATATCACCATTTGAATCAAGCTATGTTTATCTGGCTCTCAGATAGAAGTAAAAATCACAGTCTTCCCCATCATCCCCATGGTGCTGACAAGGAAGGTGGTCAGCATAGGGGCATCATTTATGTTGTGTCTGAAGGGTGAGATGGAGATAGCCATAAAGGCCACTGTGGTGTAAAGGAAATCGTGGAGGCTTTTTTCACATCAGAGCAAGGTGTTTTATTCTCTACATACTGACATTTATGCACTGAAAAGGGGAAAAATAGTTTATTTTTCACAAGCTGGTTGAAGAAGCCAACAGCCAATCAAATGGCTTGTATTGCATTTTTCACATTTGGGGAAAAGATGAAAAGTCTTTCCATATGGTATTTACACACTTGTCAGTTTGTATCAGAATCTAACTCATTTGATTTCTGATTCCACCATCTTGTGCATAAATACCAAAGAGGCAAACTTCATATGAAGTATTTTATATGTATTACATGATGAGTATTTTGAATCTGTGAAGTGAGAATATTAGCTTGTCAAGTACAGTGAAGTTTGAAGTATTTGAAAGAGTAAGTTGGATCAATGGTTTTTACCCTCAGGTTTTACACTTAAGCAGGATAGTGCTCAATCAAGCAAATTCACCAGTGGTGACTCTTAATGACTGTTTCATAACATTTTCATAGCATTCAACTTTCTTGTTATTTAACAGTGGAGCTGTTAGAAGAGGCTGATAACAATGCTTCACAGGATCAACTGGCAGAGTAAGTTATCACAAAGTTGCTAAACACCACAACAGACTGAGGCTTGTTCTAGGATGAGGATGTTTATTAAATGTATATCTTGCTGACATAAAACACCAGACTATTACTAACATCAAATGTAGTTGATGGATATACTAAAACAATGGTCCAGTTATCAAGAATAAATAAAAAATACTAAAATTGCCTATGGTATGGATGGGAAAGAAACTTAAAATTTACTTCAGAAGTTATAAACTAATATGCTGGCTTGTTCACTTGATTGCTAATGAAACATACTCAGATACCTAAGTAGCAATATACTTAAATAATTTTGCAGTTAGAAATGTGCTAGCATGGTGCATAACCAATGGTTCTATCCACGTCTTCTGACTTGCTTGCCATACACATTGCTCTGACTTGCTTGCCAAACAGATTGCTCAATCTAACCTACTGGTACCCAGTCTGAACCTCTCAGTTATCAATATTTAGACTCATAAATGAGATAAATAGTCACATCAATAAAGAAGAGCAATTATTAGTTAATAATCTAATCCATACTCAATCAACCTCTGGAATTTAAAATCACATTTTCATCTTTCTATAGGAATGGCCAGAAGCATGACAATAAGAAAGAAAAACAACTCCATGAGGAAAACTCTAACATTGCATCAAATCATTCATTGCAAACGTCATCTAAACCAGACAGAGGCTTTGGAGACAGAGGAGTAGCAAAAGCATTTACAGATGCTGGTATTGGGATCAATTCAAAATTAGGAGTAAAAAAGACAGCTGTTTCCAGTGGATCTTTCTCCAGGGATGTGAGCGATGAAGGAGACAGTCTACTGAAAAGGCACCCTATCATAGCAGAGAAGTGTATGACTTTTGTACTCTTCACAAATTTCTCTGCCTGGCTAGTGTTAGATTTACCTTTCAGACATGTTATCTTTAATTTGGTGAAGATCAGAAATAACTCTAAAGTTATGGATGGCATGTTAGTCTGTTACAGGTTGCTCCCCGCCATTTTGTCAGGTTTCCCTGACAGGCTGCTGGCATGTATTTATAGGCGGGGTAAAATGGGGACCTGTTGACATTTCATGCACATAAATAATTAGAGATAATGCATCATGAAAAATTGGATAAACAACTTTAAGGTTGACTTATTGCAAAAGGAAAAAAGAATTCACTGTTCAGGGCCCAGTTGTTCAAAGGCCGATTAGCCCTAACCCAGGGTTAATTCTAATCCAGCTTTCTTTGTTTCTTTGTTCAAAAATCTTTTAGGGAAAATTTTCACTATTCTTTTAAGAACATCCAATGATCAAATTGCAAGCAACAAGATTTGAACTGAATTTTCTCCTAAAGTTTTCAGCCCTGAAATCAAATTTCACATTAACCCTGGGTTACCTTAACCCAGCTTTGAATAACCCGGGCTAGGGGTTTTAATTTTTTATTTTCACAAGTCATGAAAATTAAAAACAGTTAATCTCAAATCACACAAAAATCCCTTTTAACCCCTTTCTCTATACTCATGGGTGGGGTAGGCACTCTAACAGTAACACAGAATGACCTGGCCAGATCTCCAACCTAGACCACTTGGCCTGGAGTCCAGTGGCAAAAAGTGCAAAGGAGGGGGCTGATGGAGGTTTTTTCTTTACTCTGATATAGTTAATTTCAAAGAAAATAGGCAGAAACTTTATATCTATGTATTATTAAATGGGGGTCTGTTTAAACAATAACAAGGCCAGACCACAACACTGTGAGCTATGTAATATCTACTCTTTGTGAGAAGTGTGTGGGTTCTTTAACATCCCTTGCTAATAAATACAGAGAGGAAGCAGGAGATGGGGTCTACAGCTTATCGTCCTTATCTGAGAAGACTGGAATGTCTAGTAACCATTTTGCAGTGTCAAAGCAAAGGTGGCACATTCTCCTCAGCTATTTCCAGACCCTTAGTGTTGTGTAAAAATACTTGATATATACCCTTCTTAATTTTGTTTTACCCATTATGTCAAGAATGAAAAACATTGTAATCCTGTATCATGATTTAACAAGTTACTTCAATTTTTCCATTTTAGATCTTTCTGACGCAACACTTGATGAGGAAGTAAAGGAGAACACAAGTCCTAATGAGCTCCCTGATATTGTGCCTATTGATTCATTTGGGGAGTCATTTGAGGAAGCAGTAAGTGGTAGTGCTTGTTTTGGAAGCCCTTTCACTCTCTAGTGTTTTTCAGAAGTGAATTTTGCCTTGCTTTACATGTTCTTGCAGAAAAACAATAAGAACTTAGAAACATAATTAACTAAGGGATATTTGTTTCATCAACTGTGCCTGATAATGTACATGGAAAAATTATGTGCCTTTGATTGGCTGAAAACAAGTGCATTCTCCTGTAATACGAGTGCAAAGTTGTAACACAAGCAAATTACAGATAGCATGCCCACACTTTCAAAATTTTGTTTGTTTTGACTCTCTGTGATGTTTTTACACGCACATTATTAACAAGTAGTAACATGATTTCTTCAGCAATTTGGTGTAATAAACACTTGCAAATTTTTCAAAGACTACAAATTGCTTTTGCCTTACAGGCATCAAATGTACACCAAATTGCTCTTGAAATTGTGTTATTGCCAATACAAATTTTCAGATCTTGATTTGTATTTGAAATCACCATGTTTGAAGATGTGTAATCTTGAGCTCATCAATAAATATAATTCTTAAAAAGAACTGACTTCAACTCAAATTTTGTAGGTAAAATTCATCAGTAGACAGCGAGTTATTGGTGTTTGCTGTGAAGGTGTAAATCTCGGAAGGCTTGGAAAACTTTGCTGGCTGGTGGTATGTGTACTTTTTTGTGTACTAACTTATTGGTACTAAATTTTGTGGGTCTTAAATCTCACATTTGTCCTAATGGTAAGACAATTGCATAAAAAAATAAAAATCCTTGTGAAATTTAAACCCACATAGAAAATTCAAATGACAAGTTCCAGAGAATATCTTTTGAGCAGTCGTCAAATGTTAACTCTTTAACTCCCATAAGTGACCAAGAGTGAATTTCTCCTTACAGTGTCAATACAATATCAACCAGATGAGTGATGAGAACAAAGAAAAATATCAAATTGGGGATAATCAGTTGATTTGATACTAAATTCTCTGAACTAACATTATAATAATTGTATGGTTGACAGTAAAGAGAATTGCAAATTTGATCTTTGAGTTAAAGGGTTAAGACATTTTTGAAAAATATAATGAAGTTGAGAACACTTGAATTGCAAAATTTAATGCCCTTTTTTTTGCTGTATGAGTATTAAAATCGCAAATCTTAAACCGCACAAAATAACGTCTCACCAAAGTTACAAAATTAATTAGCCGCAAAATTGAGTACTGATAAGGTAGAACTATCAGGTAATATTTACTATCTTTGGTTTAATAGTGGATCTAATAACATCATCACATTAAATTGTCTCCCATTAATGGTGTTATTCCTGCAGTCACTCATTTGTTTTCATAGTTATCAAGCAGAATCATGCTGCTCTTTTCTGGGTGTAAAAATGGGGGCAGATGTCGTAGCCTAACAGGTGGTTAAGTGGACTTCAGATCAAGAGGTCTGGGTTCAAGACATGATAGCAACTCTTTTGTTGCCAGTGTACATTATCAACTCATTTGATAAGACCAAATTGTATCTGAGTAACAGTATGCTGAATCATGGCTGTGGCATCAGAGGTTTGGACCGCATTGCTCAAGTGTGAACGTCACATTTCCAATTAACAGGATTAACAATTACAGGACTTTTGCATGCTCAGGATATATTGTCTTTCTTTAAGATCTACAATCTAGATTCAACCAAAACTTTTGAGCTTAAATACCTTGCATTTAGGCAATTGTGTGCATCATTGTCACATTCTTTCCATTATAAATCAAATTTTTTGGTAGTCATTATGACAGCAAGAGGGTAACATTTTCCTGTTCTTTGTCAGATTGGCTGTAGCAGAGTAATTTACTTGTTTGATGTTCTTACTCTTGGAGCTCCATGTTTTGATGAGGGATTACAGGACATTCTTGAAAGTGGAGACATACTGAAGGTAAGAGTAATAATGAGCTCGTAATAATTCCCTTGCAGGCGTCGGTCAAATTGTTCCGATTAACCTGTTGTTATAAGACAACGCTTTTATACTGTACACACAGCCTCGAAATCATTGCAAGAAAGGTGATACAGTCGTATCCTTAACCTGAAAAATAATTAAATTCTTCTTACATGAGTAAACAACCGATCGAATTGACTGGCAGTCAAAGAAGTTTTTTAGACAAAGGTAAAATTTCCGCAAGTCCCATACTATTGTAAAACATATCTGTTTTCCCAATGGCAATGTAATATTTTTGTCATTGTTTTCTCTATCCAAGAACTGAGTGCATAATTTAGTGTGGGGCTGAGCGGAAATTTTACCCAGACAAAACCTATATTTGACTAGCCTGCAGAGCAGGCGTAATTTTGGCGAGCGAGTGCTTAGTATTTTCTAAGCGAAAACTATGACCGCAGCAGCGGAAGGCTGGGGAGAGAAAGAAATTTGTACCAAAAGGGGGTGAGCGAAAGTAAAAAATAAGGAGAGGGTTGGGGCTGGGAGAGTGAATAGCGTCTTTTTTTGCCTTTCCCCGCACCCTCCCCCCACCGCAGACTCTAACTCCAAATCAAACATGGCCGGTTGAATAAACGATCGCGAGCTTCTAAACGTTAACTCGCCCTAATAAGACGCCTGAACTGCAGGCTAATATTTGACCGGACATTGTACATTGACCAGCCGTTATTTCCCTGGTGTCTAAAGAAAAGATATGAAGTATAAATTTCTTAAGATTTTCAACTACTTTTAGCACTAGAGATGCTTCAGGTTAGTGGTATATCCTTTGGACTCCAGGCCCTGATCATTCGAAAGGTGGATAACACATTCCACCGGATAAACCTCTATTTAGTAAACAGCGCAGCACTTATTCGTTGGTTAGCAATTTATCCATTGGGTAGCGTTTTCGTCCCTCTTAACAACTAGGCCTAGATTAGGAAGTCTAGGTTGAAGCCCTGTCCAGGTTATTGTGTTTTGTTTTTTGGCAACCATTTAACTCACACAGTGCCTCTTTTCAACCTTCTTAAAATTCTTGTGTTGCTTTGTTTTGTGTTTTAGGTATTTCACGACTGCAGACTGGCCAGTGATGCACTATTTCATCAGTATCATATCCACCTGATGAACGTGTTTGATACTCAGGTCTGTGGGCTGTTTATTCTTGCAGTTTTATTCGTCAAGTGTCTACATTTACTGATTCATGATGTATTGACAAAGAATTTGTCATAACATCATGTTATGTCATTTATTGCATAACTTGCACTTGTTGCAAAGAGGTATATATGGGCGAAACAGGAAGACGACCAGGCGAGCGATTCCGAAAACAACTTTGTGATCTAGAAAGGAAAAATAAAGACGCATCCAAACCAGTCGCTAGACAGTCCAAAGTCTTTCCTTACATATAGTCAGTTCGGAAGCCTATAGAATAAAAACTTATCTTTCAATTGGGCACTCTTAATCCCCAAGGTATCAACGAACGCTTTCCATTCAACTAATTTATTCTTGTTTTTCACGCTACCATGTTTCCAGCAGTAGCATAACTCAATTTTTCGATACATAAACCAAAAACAATCCACAATTCCTCAAATCGCTTTGACGAATGGCTGACACTCTGACGGTGGCTAATTTAAATTTGCTACGTAGTTGATGAAAACAAATTTTCCTCGAATGTTATGACAGTTCGTTACTCCTGTAGGCGAAACATGAAAGAGATTACTTTTTTTATTTTGACAGGTGGCGGATGCGATTATTTACAAGAATGAAAGAGGAGGAGAGCTACCCAGGTAAAAGCTTACTTCTAGTCTTAAAACTCTGACAGAAAGCTGGTTAAGCATATTGTATAGATAGTAAAAAAAGAACAGTTAGATTGTGTCGAGTACAATTCAGTGAGTAGTTCTGTAAGTAATTGCTCGAGTCTGCCGCGCAAAACACATTTGAAATTGTCAAATCTTAAGATATCTATTCGTTAGAACGTGCGCTATGATTTGTCAATTTGGAGGGCTGTATTTTCCTGTACGGCTCGCTAGATTCAAAATGTTGTTCAAAGTGAGATCTTCTCCCCTCTGTTTGAACTCAGAGATACAATTTCTTACTAACCTCGTTTTCGCGGTCCATACAGTAAGTTAGAGAACCTCGTTTTCTCCGTTCGTGTTTATGGCTTAATTGCACTCGGTTCGTAAGTTACAAAACGAACCTCGATCTCGGTTAGTAAGAGGTGTATAATCACTTCCTGAGTATGGCATCCAGTTTCTACATAATTATATCAATAACGGACCTTGTGGCCGAGATTGTATTTCATAATCTCTGTTTAATGAATAGAGGAAGGGTTTAGGATCCGACCATTTTTTCCACTGTAAGAAAACACGAAGAGAACTTCTAATTGTTACATTACAAGATGGCAAAAAAGGGATTAATGAACAATTCTGTTTTTATTTCTTAGATATGTTAATGGACTAGTGGCCTGTTTGTATGAATACTTGAACTTGTCACCTGAGAATGTGTCCTTCCAGAAAGTGCGACAGAAATTTATGAAGGTATATTACATGTATTACTCTTGTCCAGTAGACTGTAAAAACAAGCGAACTCCCCAAAGTGCTGGAAAACGCGGGCGACTAGGTCTTGATTGTTGGTAGTTTTGCATTTAATTGGTTGACAAGCGGTCACTTAAAGCGGAACCACTCAAATAAATTCAAGTATAATCTCTCAAGTCAGATTTATTTCATGTTCATCTCCCGAAATCGATAGTGGCACTCTGAGTTCATAAGTCTGGAGCGCATTGCAAATAATCTTTCTTCGTTGGACTGCTAGGAAAAAATAATACACACGAACATCACACAACTCATTTGCTAGTCAACTTGTATGAAAGGGTCACCCCACCATTCCTCATGGAATGGAATGAGGGGGCCCCCCCTTTAGTTTTTTTCGTTTAGAGAGATTGGAACGCTGTATTTCTTCAAACGAAAAAATTGAAAAATTATTGCAAAACGTATTATGATCAGCACTGCTACTGCTCACTTTGAAGCGTTTTTTTTTTCACTCCGGTTATAAGCCCCCTTGGATATAAGCCCCTACGTCTACAAGCCCTCCCAAAACCCCTTACAAAGTTATATATTAATCTAAGGACTTAAAAGCGGCAGTTTAAGGTAGTTCAAATCAGCAGCTTGTGGGTATATGGCTCATATGTCTTCCAATTATTTCTGCTATCAACTGGAACTTACTTGGTAGACCTAAAAGTATTTTTTAACGTACCATATTATTAATATTGATTTCCTTTACATCTTTTTAATTTGATCATTTAGACAAATGCATCTGTTTGGGCTGTAAGGCCTGCTCCAGAGGCTCTAGTAGATGCCGCCGCTAAGGTAGGCAATGGCATCTTAAGCCGAGTATATTTCTACATTAATGAAAATACCACGGAGAGAGATTCCTGTAAAACGTTGGTGCTAAAGGTTCTCTTTTCATGGTACGATTGGAGCGCTCTATGTGTAGGCGTTGTGGGACGAAAACCAAAGTGATCACAGCGGCCAATCATGACCAAGAACAATATCTTAAGGAGCCAATGAGAGCTATTAGTTGAAACATGTGAACTGCCTGAAGCGCGGGAAAACTTGAATGACCAAGGCGCGATTGGTTGTGAGAGGGATGCGGTTATCTTGACCAATCACATCTCAAAGTAATGCAAAAATGATTATCAATCCCTGGTCACTTTCGATATTCAATTGGACATTTCACTGTTTTTTCCATTTTTTATATGTATGTACATTTGTATTTTTTTGTCTTACCAGCATGTCATGTATCTAAGGGAGCTGCGGCTTGCTCAAATGGAGAGACTAATGGCAGAATTTCTTTATGGCGTCGATATTTATCTGAGTATTGCTCGAGATTCCAAGGAGCTGAACCCCAAGGTAACAAGAAAATATGCGATTTTCTTTTAGAATATATTAAAAAAGAGAACTAATCGAAGGGAAAGTGCAACCATCAGAAGTAATTAACTCACAAAGACCACAACTTCACCGTCCAATATCAATATCAACCAACCTCGGAAACAGGGGATGAGCAGAGAAGGATTATGGAGGTTTTGCCCAATTACAAGTTTGCTCCCTACCACCATTGCGAAATCCCTCCGCTGAAGTAAGGCAGGTTCGCCTCCACCTCCGACAGTTCGCCCCAAAATCAAACCTGGCAGCTATGATGCCAATTGCGCATATGTCGTTAGTTATGTTCGGTCGTGTCCATCAGTTAGTTAGGACCAGGGCGCGATTTGTGTTGAAGAGGTATCCCTAGTAGCTTCATAATAGAGGAAATCAGTATCACAAGTTTAGCTTAGGGAATTGAAAGACGTTCAAACATTATTTATTCTCGCGCTCTTCATTGACCACGCTCTTTCCAGGTGAAAGGTCAGCTGCTCCCTGCAAAGTTCAAAGAACTGAACCATTTCAACTACAGACATCGGTCGAGACGATATGATGGTGACTTCCATGAAGATGCAAAGGGAGTCGTACCAGAGGACGTGCTGGCCAGTCGGGAGGCCTGGTGCGAAGGTGATCAGTTCACGCATGCGTATGAGAATAAAAAGGGGCGTGTGAAGGAAACTGTCAACTCTATCTCCGTTCCCTTGAACAGACTGAAAGAGAAATGGCGCGAAAGCGGGAGTGATTCTGACGCAAGTAACGTCACTTCAGAAAGCAATGGAAGCAGCATGGAAGCAGCATTACAGAATCAAGGCGCTGCTGCTCCTGCTGTCAAGTCGTCTTCTGTTTCAATTACAGCCCGCCCCCAGGAAATATTCATAGAAAAAGACTTTCCACCACTGAGCAGTCGTGAATCCGAGGGACCTGGGACCGTTCCTCGACAAAAGGAACAAAATCGTCTAGATTTGCAAGCCGATAGAAGAATGGAAGAAACCGTAAGAGAGACAGCCCATGCTCTTGGGCCTGGACTACAATCTAATTCTGCTCAGCCACCAAGTCTCTTACTCCAACGTGCTAATGCGCTTTTGAGGGAATCTGCATCCTTGCCTGGCCGCGGGCGGGCGGGAGCTTTGTTACGGCACGCCGCTCTCCCGGAAGTGAGATTGCCCGGTGGATCGGGATATTATCACCACGAGGCAAGTGGTGCCGATCGCTACGACGCAAACAGAAACGAATTCCACTTTCCAGCTGATGAAGAACTCCTCGCTGCCCCGGAGGTCGTTCCAGTGCCCAACCATCACCTTGTTGGGGGAACAACAGTGAGGATCAGAAAGACTTGACACAATTTATGTTGCGTGACGCGTGACCTAAAGGTTGCCGTTTGTTGCGGAACGCGTGATCTAAGGAGTGAAGGTTACCAGGAAAGGTTTTTGCCGTAGGACAAAAGACGTTTTTCACGTCGCTTGTGCATTACGCGCAAGGTTTTGCAGTTCTGCATTGGAATTTCGAAAGAGATTTGTATTGAGTACGAGTAGAAAGAATGTTTTACTCTTAACTGAATCTCGCAGAAAGTTTTTCAAGCAAGGGCTGTCAGGAGCTCGTTACTAGCGTTCTATTATACTAAAACTGTTTCTATCAGCAAACGAGAAACGTCGTAAATGTTTTTAAATGTGTATCAAATCAATCCCATGTCAGGCTTTTTATGTTCGAGTTGATACCACTCAGAAACATGGAAGATGAGGATGAATTCTAAACTTGGAGTGATGTCCAAACTACCGAGATCTTCTCTTGATAGAACATCAACACTTATTTACCCAGCGATGTTTCCTTAAAAATTCTCTCAACCCAGTTCCAAGATCACACCGTTAGGGCGCAGATCGGAGAATCGATGACATTTCGGTGGATCAATGGCGAGATCCGAGAATGCGGACAAGTGACTCAGTTGTTAGTCATCTGACTTTATTAAGTAGCCTCTTTGTAAAATTAGACGACCAAAAAGCGTTGGAGAATTTTTGTGCTGTAACTCATCTTTCTGGTTAGGATCAACGCCAGTGGTCGTATGACTGAAGGAACCTATTCAAGTCGCGGTGTCCTTTCGGTCATTGCGCTGGGGCTCGGGTTTGAGGCCTGGCCGTGACATTGTGTTGTGTTCTTGGGCGAGACATTGGAATGGGTACCGGAATTGTCAGGGAACCCTGATGTAATGCTGGGGGGTAGCCTTAGGATGGACTGGCATCCCATCCAATGGGGAGTAGTAATACTTCTTGTCGCTTCATCTCATGGAGGAAACCGGGATAAGCACTGGCTGGATGGGACACTTGGCTTGACGGACTTTCTACTTGTAAAACGACTAGGACTGTTGCTGCATTTCTACAGGGTTACAGTTTGCTGGTACCCCTGAATACTTCTTGTTAGAGAGAGGCGTTGAGAAAAACGTACCCATTGAACCAGGTTTAGGCTCAAACCTAGACCCCTCGCCGTGCTCGTTCCTGTTTACGTGTTGACATGACAGCCAATAGGCAACTGCATTCTTAAACCTAAACGAGGAAAGAATTCGAAAACTCGGAAACCTTCATTTATTGTTCAACCCTTTTTGGTAGTTTTCGGGGGCTTTGTAATGTCTATGTTTGACTAGTTGTGATAAGTTTATGTCTGTTAGTGATAGCTGTAAAATTATGCTGAACAGCTTTAAACAGCTTTGCTGATATTCTCTCGGGTCGTATCAGCCACTTATGAACTAAATCCATACCAATCTAGACAGAGCAAGTAACAATATATTTTTACCGTCGAGATCGGAAAATTGGTCAGTGCCTTATGCCTTTAGCTCCAAGAGCATAAGCCATCGAAGATTTCTCTTCTCCACCTAGCCCTGTCCTGGGCTTGGGATTGATCCAATGTTTGAAAACAAGGGGACGATTTTTTTTTTTTCGAAAAGTGGAGAATGAGAGAGAAATACGTTGACGTGTTGCAGTTTTTAGCCACATACTTCTTCATTTTGGACATCTGGTGCAGATACAGGTGCTTCGGTCTTCATCCTTGAGTGCTTCGTGTTCCACGTTGTCCTCCACTTATACTGTAACCCAGCTATTTTCTTCGTAAATAGTACACACAAAAAAAGGAAGAAAAAAAGAACCGCGCCATCCAGTCGACCAAACAGATGTGAAACAAAAAGCAATATTGCGATTTTGTCAATCGCATTTTCACGCGCTGCATGTAGTCTCCCTGCCCTCTTTGTTTACTGGCTGTTGTGGCTACCTTGGTTAGCTTTACGACACTTATCGCAACAGGTGTTGTAATACCGAAACAATCTCATTGACCCTGCGAAATCACTGTTCAAGGCAAATGCACACTACTTAAAACCACTTGACATTTTGAGGTTTCTCGCGAAGTAAACAGACGTTGGAAAAAAAAATAGATAGGTAGAGAGATGTTACAAGCACCATTCCCCACTCGGCCCGCTCGTTTTGTGTTGTATTTGCGCCGAAGTAATACGTTTCTATCTCCACTATTGAGCTTTCAAATAATTAATAATTCATCGCCTCAAGCACTCGATTGTCGGCAAAAATAGACAATGCCAATATTTCAATATCGTATTCAGATCGGATTCGACTACCGCAATTAAACCTTTCTCCTAAAAGCGTAAAAAGAAAATTGGCTGATATCATGAACTGATGTACAGTGGATACAATTAGGATAAAGATGGTTGTTCTTTCATCTGATTTTCCACATGAATTCACAGCTTTTCTCTTACTTTTTTTTTTTTTTTCATTCAGTACAGATGAGTGACTCTGGAATTTCAACCATCTAAAGGTCAAGATTTTTTGTTGCGATAACGATTTCGCGGCGGATTAATTAATTGGCCTTCTCGACCAAGGCGAACTTACCGACAGAAGAGAAACCTCTTATCGCCAAGTCATTAGTCTGCGATACGTTAGTAGCATAATAAAGTGTTACAAGCATTAAAGGGCCTTGGTCCGGAAACCACAGTCAATCGTATAACTATATATGATTTGTCCCTTTCCAAAGGGGCGAATTTCAGTTTAATTCTATTTTAGGTCTAAGGGACTGTTACCATCTTAGTAAGCCAAGACTGCAGAAAAAATTGTCAGAAACGTGCTGTGTTTGATGTCCGCGATAAGACGATTAAAAACAGTCCAATCTAATCGAAAACAACGGTGTAAGAAAGTATCATGGTCGTATTGATGAGGTATCTCTGACATGCTTCATTATTTGGCACCGTTAAAGTACAAGGCCATTTAAAAGCGCGAAGTCTCGCGTGACTTCGTTGAATTGTTTTGATCAAGGCTCACGCAACATTAATTCTTTGCTTACTTGCATTAATTAACCTCAGTGCAACTCTGTTGCTAGTACTTTTCTCGTCATATTTACTCCTCTCTATTCTGAATGATTTAAGTCTGTGATTCAAAAATGTAGTAGCCTGGCTTTTTCCTCACTGTATAACTGTTTACAGGGGCTTGTGAAACATGGCAACTGTACTTAATAAGAGAAATTATTCAATGACATAAGGCTCTCATAAACAGCGTAATAGATTTAGACATAATAATAAATTGCATCTACGCGAGCGGGTAATTGATAAAAGAAATGATTCAAACAATCGCTCTTTGAAGAATATTCTCTATATACTACGGAACACATAATATATTTCTAGAACCAAATAGAGAATTCTTCCAACAGGACCGAGCATCAAAAATTTAACGGCGTCCAACATGAGTGCCATTTGACCAATGAAGTCAATTAAGGACGGCAAACGACAAAGACTAAGCTTAATTACGAATGTAAAGCAGGCATCAGAGACATCTATTTGTCCTAATGGCCAATTCGATGTTTTCAATTAATACTAAGCCTGGGCCATCTCTTTAATGACCTGCCAGAATTGCGAAACATTTGGGAGCTGCTGCTCTGCGAAAGGCGGAGTAGTGTTTCTTGTCGAAAAAAAAAGATGTTGCAAAACTTGGTTCCCTTATGATCCCTACAGCGCGTTACGTGAGATTTCTGTGATTTACAGACGCAATTCACACCTGTGTTTGCGTTATTCATTACAATTATTGCACAACTATTTCTAAAGCGGATAAGTGAACGACGAATGCGGGGCTATCCTCCTCGAGCTATAGGGGATGGCCCACGTACAGGAGAAACTTGAGGTTCTTTCTTAAAAAGGTGATAGTGCTTGGAATTGTTTGTCTAGAGAGATATGTGAAAACAACGTATGGTTTAAAAGATTTTCCAAGGAGTTTGTTCACTACCCTGAGATCAACCGCTGCATAACTAATTCCAAGTATTTACCTCGCAAATAAACCACCCGTGCTTAATAAGTTGTTTTAATATGAAAAACCCTGCCATTACGCGATTGCTTTCATAGGCGAGGCTATCATTTGATTTTGCTCTCGGTGCATGTAGCCGATATATCTAAGCTTAAAAGACTTTTTTATAGCTGTTTTTGTTTATCACCGTGATATTAAGGAAGTTTATATCCTCCTCCGTTATAAGAGACTCTCCAAAACGAAAATTGGAGAGAACCTGATAAGTGGCAAATTAAATCCCGCGAGAAACAAACAGACAAACGAACAAAACAAACAAAAAGCCGCTAAAGCCTTCGGCTTAATAATTACTTTGCAAAAGCTTTTTCAATAAGCGAAAGGATGTCCCATCAACAAAAGCCAAGGTGTAGTATAATATTGGCGATTTTCAAGAAACAAAATCCAAAGGCGCTGGATGAGAGCTCTGCCAGTGTTTTAGCCAATCACATGAGCGCGCTTCCAATTAACTGTCAATCAACTTAAACAACTGGTTGTCAGTTCTACACTGATCGAGGGATCAACTCCATCGAGTATTTTTTGAATGTATAACAAGGGGCAGCGATCATGGCGAATTGCTGCACTAAAAACGAAAAAACGGAGCCCGTGGGTATCAAACTCGAAGGGAATAACATTGAACAAAATATTGAAAGTTGGCTTGACGATCATCCCGAATTCGTTCACTCTTATTTTACGCGGAAAGCAAGCAGGACTTTGATCGATTCTTGGCTTCAGTCACGCTCGCTTCGAACACCTACCCCTAGCGGAACACCGCCTCCGTCGGGATCTTCTACTCCTGTAAGGAAAATCTCTGCCTCGGAATTTGAAGGCCGAGGGATCTTAAAACCCTTAGTGAATGTTGTCGATGGGCAAGCAACTTTTCTATCACCGAGCGAGCCTTCGAGAGCGCGATCGCCTCACCGCAATCGCAAATCGCGCGTCGAACTACTACAACTGGACGAGACAGAGCTCCTGATGGAACTCGTCAAAGATATCGCCAGTGATTTGGATGTGAAATGTCTTTGTCACAAAATCCTACAAAATGTTAGTATTCTTGTCAATGGAGATCGTTGCTCGCTTTTTCTTCTTCAAGGCCCGAAAGATGGGCCACGCTATCTGGTCTCTAAAGTGTTTGATGTGAATGCGGAGTCTAAACTTGAGGACATGCAAGGGTTGGAGGAAATAAGGATTCCCCTCGGCACAGGAATCGTAGGATATACGGCAGATACGGGAGAAGTAGTGAACATTGCCAACGCATATGAGGTGAGTTGTTTAATTTTTTTTTTCGCCATGGTGCAAGTGTTACGCGCGCGATGTGCTTTTTGTCTCGAATGCCGGTTGCTTAGCTGTCTTCTTTGAACAAACTTTCCAGCCGCGTAGCAGGATTTCTAATCTTTAACTCTCTCATTTATCCACTTTTCGTTCGTGTGCGAAGCGAACGTAACCATTTTAAGAGGACGGAACATTTTATAGTTCATAAACTAAAATGTTTGGCGCCTGCAGATTTGTGGCTCGAAATTCTTGTTAATCGATTATGTCCAGTGATAGTTTCGAGAGCCTACCCCCTTTGGCGAATTTAACACAGCAAACGTTGTATCAAACTTTGTGGATACTCGCAGTGCCCAAGCGAAAAATTCGTTTAATTTCCTAGAACCGTCGAATTTGCGGACGACTCCCTGGAAACGAACCTCGAAGGTACATTTTGGAGTGAACACTCTGTCATGTCGAGAACTATTTTTAGTAGTCGTTCGAACGAATTCGAGCGTTTCTGTCTTCGAGTTACTAGTAAGGAGATTGCTGTTAAACGCTTAAATTGTCTGCTAGGTTTAGTTTTGTTAACTTAGTTTCAGCCATCTACAACAACAAAACTACCGTGGCTTTCAGGGGAAATAGAAAGGTTATCGTCAAAACATTGTAGTCATAATTGCTGTCCCTGCTCGCGGACATGTTTACTGCTAGTTTGTTTACATATGGTGCGATTGGCGCTGTGTGTGCCATCAGATTTTAACCAAAAGCTTGTGCGGTTAGAACACTTTCTAAAGAAGTAATATAGTTATTGGTAATCGCTTTTCGGTTAACTGAGCATCGCTGAATATTCAAATGTTCGGAAAATGATCAAGCATGCATGCGTAAGACTTATTTCTATCGCTTTCAAATATTCAATAAAGTGCATTTTGTATTCTCTCTTTCTTTTGTAACTATTTATTTTTTGTGTTGGCAAGTGGCAGTCTTTTCAAAAGTTAATTTTGTCGTGTGGCTCCGATCGTAAGCCTTACTGACTTACAGCAAAATAACAAAATAAAGCTAGTTTGTTTTACGGGTGTCCTCCGCGCTCTTTGGAATTAATTCCTGTTCTGTCTGTTCGGTGTCATCTATTTTTTTTTTGTTCCAGATATTAAAGCGGTGTTAGCCACTCAAGCTGAAAGAATAGCTATTTCTTATTTCAGGCGACAGTTAGTTTGAAAAGGACGAAACATATTTGCGATTATAAAAACAAAATATTATGTCACGCGAGCCGTCGCGAAGTGATTAAATGATTTCTTGTAATCCTGTCTTGTGGTACCTCTTTACATTTTTCGTTCGAATGAGACATTAATTACTTCTTGTGATGTTTTTTGAGCATTCCGCACCGATCTCGTTTTTCGTTTACCTCGAATTATTTAACCAAGGCTGAATTCGTAAGAAAGCCATTTGTTCTAGAGGAAGTAAGAGGTGTCTTCATTGTAAAAGGGTCGGTTATCTATTCTGCCATTGTATGCACGTAATATTATTTCATAACAAAGGACAGGCAGCAAAAAATAAGAATTTATGTAAACAGTTCTATCTTGTGGTTGAAAAGCTCTCTCCTTAATTAAACTGAAATTTATCACCGACCGGACATACAGGCGCGATTCTCTTTATTCATAATTTCTTTTGAAGGAAAGCGGCGAGATTTTTCCTTTCATCGGGTCGATTTTTAAGCCACTAAGCGTCTATTTCACTCGACATAGTGCAGATGTTAAATTTAAATTAGAAGGTAATATCTAAATCAATTGAGAATTTGTCAGTATACACTAGTTTCGTTTCAGTCAGAGATTTATTCCCAAGGGGAATGATTTATGTAAACAAAAAAATGCTTCAGGTTTTTTTTCAGTACGGCAAAAGTGACCCGACTGCTATCCACATTATCTCTCTTTCTTATACAGATTGCAATACTCTCTTGTAAATTATAGACCTACGTCAGATATGAAGGACACTTTATAGCCTTGTCATCTTTGCGTTATTGACAGGTCAGATGTATCAATGTTATTAGAAATTATATTCGTAGAGTATTATTTATCTTCGTTTTCATTTTGAAAAGGCAAAAACACCCATGGGATTAATGATATTCAAATTGTGTTTTGCCACTAAGTGGCTCTGCTAATGGACCACGTACAGCTGGTTTTTAGACCCTGCTTCAAGATTTTTTTGTTGTATGTGAGTCCTGCCAACTGTCTGATTTTTGACAGAACAGCTGTAGTTATGTCTAGAATTATGCTAAAATGGAGTTTGTTTGTTTTGCCATGTTACCCTGGCTTGAAATCTAGTTTCCATAGTGTATAGTGGTGATGGGAAAGGCTACTTCTGTTGACTGATATGTTAATCCACCTAAAGCTATTTTTGACATTTATGTTGGGTTTTGAAATTAATTATCGGTAGTCATTTGTACACTCGGATAAGATAACTGTAATACTTCTTTCTGACCCTCTTTGAGCCTCCTTACTTTAGAATTTAAGGCAAATACTCCATAGCAGTCAAATTAATTTGGTGGAATGATGCAACATTGTGTGCACTTGCCTAATTTCGCTAAGAAACCCAGATTTAAATCCCAGACCAGATTTTAGTCGTGATTTTTGTTGCTTTTCATCCTTTTTCACAATGATTTTTCTTCAAGTTTCATAGTTTTCCTTCCCACACCACTCAATCTAAAATACAAGAGCTAATGTATACTGCTTTCACAAAGGAATTTGTCTTTAATTATTCACTGATTTACTTTGTACAGAAATGTACTAACCACTTTTCTATTGCATACCAGTGTAATACTGGATGTTATCACAGCATCTTCTTTATCTGTGACTGAACTATTTTCTTACTCCTTACCTTATCATAATCAGTTAGTTTGTGTGTTTTTGTGATCTTTGACAATCTATCCATTCTCTGGTGCTTTATGAATGCATTGCATGACTTGCATGCATGCCCACTATCCCATATTTTTCCTCACTTAATCTGCAATGTGTCAACTTGCTATTCCATAGGGTTATCATATTAAGCCAGCAACTGGCACATTTCACCGTCTACTCTGAAAAACATGCCAGCCATTTGGAATGTTTGTGGCTAGATTTTCATGATTGAAGCGTGAGGATATACTGCCTACTTTTTATCACAAGCCAGTCACTCAAAATATTTTTGACAACCCTACTTCAATGCAAATCCTTTCTAACTTTTTCAGCATTTAATGGATTTCTGTGATAATTTCTTTTTGGCTACATGAATTGCTTGGGAAGGTCTGCTTGTTATTAAATTCTATAATGTGCTTCACCATCACAACAAATTTTCATTGTTTTTTCTGAGACAAATTTCCAATTTAAGAACAACATCACTTTAAGCTGGGCACCATGAGCTTTAAATCAATGAACAGTTTTGCTAATTTTTTTGTTTTTGTATTTCAAAATTTAATTTCTCTAGATGAAAAGCTTTGTTTGCAGACACTGGTTTACTTTTAAATATGCTGATATTAAGCTTTTAAATGATTATTTGTTCACTTGTAGAGAGTTTGTCATTTAGGATTCGGTTAAAACTGCACTTTGTCATTAGTGTAAGGGTTAGTTTTCATTTGCATTGAAAATTGATATCTTGAACTAAGCTTGTGTCCACAGGGATAGAAGTTTTTTTTATTGTTTTGTATAAGTTTTACCTTAGATAAAAGTTGGCTTTTATTTTGTAAGGATGATTGATATCTTTAACTCAGCTTGCACCCACAGGAGTAGAGTTTTGTTCATGTATCAATAACATTTCACCATGGGTACTCATCAGTATCTTCCTGTCACAAAACACCTGTTATTGCAGTTTTGTATCTTAATTGTGTCACAGTAAGATGTTTCTCTTTCCTGTAATTATTTCAAACTGTGGATTCTGTTATAGGGTGCATGCTTTTTTAATGTGACACTGTAATCTTTCCATTAAATATCTCAATACTAGTGGTGCTATCCTTTTCATACAGTAATTGGTAACATTTACCACCTGTAGTACCTCTTATACTGCCTAAAATTACTAAAAAGATTTGAAAATTTAACAGGTAAGAGGATTGCTCTACTGGTTTCTAGATTCTTTTACCCGTTGCACTTGAAAGAAGGGAGAGCAGTGTTCTCGTCTGTGTATTCCCAGCAGGGAACTTTTTTGCTGTGGCACTGAAATTTTACCCTTTTTTTCTCAAACACGGTTCGTGTGTCATTTAGCAATGGTAATGTTGGCCTAGATATCTCAAACTCTGGGTGTCTGTGGGTGTGGAGTTAAGTCAGTGTATTGTTATAATTTTACACCTATAGCTAACTTGCCCCTTTTATTTTTTCTGGTACCAAGTACTGTCTTGGTTGCAGAACTCTGGCAACTATTATTTAAATGACATCAAAATTTGTAAATCAAATGTAAGGTATGTAAGGCACTTTTAGTGTCTGATCAGTGATTTTAGGATTTTCACTGAGAAATATAGTAGCAGTAATATATAAAAAAGTAACAAGAGAATAACTTCCATGTTTTAATGAAAGCAGTTTGATCAAGCCATCAAAATTTTGGCAGGGAATTCTGAAGAGCAGCTTGAGAATTTTCCATTCTCTTCTGATAAACACCTGGAGCTTAATTATGGTCCAGCTGCTTTGTAACTTCACCTTCTAGCAACCAGAGTTTAGTTTTTTTTTATCAATAATTATTCTGGAGCAGTCTTTGTTTCCACATAAATTGAGATCCTAAAACATTTTTAATGAGCTTCTTAAAATTGCCATAGACAAAAAATGCTTCACTGTTAGATAGTATTATGTTATTTTGTGAAAATTACAAAGGTATGTATTGAAGCTGAAGGCAGGCTGTGTTTTCAATATTGGTGTAATTTTCTCTAGATTCTTAATTGCAGCTATTAATTTTAATTTCCTCCTTAAAAATCAGCAGATGGTACTCATCATGTGATCTTTGATGACTTAAAGTTAGCTTGTTATCGAATTATTTCTTTTCATGTTTTCACGTACTGTAATGTACCAAAATAACCCCAAAAAAACATTGTTAGAATGGAAAAGGATGAAAAAAATATATGGTGTAATTTTTTTGAGATGGGGAAACCAATTAATCCTAAATGAATGCAAAGAAAATGTCTTAGTTCTTCTGTGTATCCAGACTTTACTCCAGTCCTAGGAAAAAGCTAGGAAATCTATTTGGGCAGAAATTATTTATTACTATACCCTGCAGGAAGAACAGTTATAGGAAAGCTAAAACTGTGGCCTGGCACATCTCCATGAATTTCAAGCTGAGTAACATGAATACCATATTAGCTGGAAAATGGTCCGTCTGCATGCAAAACTCTTTGAGGCTTGGGGATTTCTCTGAATATACTTCAATTAAAGTGAAATTTTGTGCTAAAAATTATGTATGATTGATAGGGCAGTTCCTAAGTTTGAAGGTAGCTTTACACTAGGAATGTAATGGCTACTGGTGATAACATCAACAGCTTCACCTGTAACATTGAAAGAGCTGAGCCATGACAGCTATTATGGGTTATAGCCTTTATTAACAGCCCTGACTGAGTAGGCTGGCTTAAGTTTATTTCCATGTTTGCCTCACCAATGAGCTTAATCTTCTTTACATTGAGTTCTGATATATTTTTTGCATTTCAAAATAAAAAGTTTTCTCATCTTTTTCAGTATTTAACATGATTTGGTACAAAAAAAGAGAGCTAGATATGTGCTTTAATCTGCTCAAACAAGCCACATAATTTTGATAAAGAAAGGGAGTATAAGATGAAACGCTAAAATAAAATTTTTATGAAGTAAATGCTAGAAATGTGTCTGTTGTCAGCATGAAGCAAATGATTCCTTTAAAATTTGGCAAACTTGAGGCATTGTAGGATAGTTACAATTTAGCAAGAAAATATAGAAAGTCCCATGGCTTATATATTAACCATTTAACTCTCAAGATCTCATTAGTAATTCTCCTTATTGTCTGCCATACAATTCATATAATGTTAGTTTGGAGAATTTGGAATTGGATCAACCAATAATCCCCTAATTGATATTTTTCTTTAAACTCATTACTTGTTTGCTTGATATTATACTGATAGTGTAAGGAGAAATTCTGTCTTGGTCACTAGTGAGACTGAAAGGGTTAAATAATTTGTGTACCAAGATACGCTTGTATTATTAACTTGTTTCTGTGCTTCACAAGTCCAATGAAAGAAGAGGTGTGTTTTCAAACATGGGCTTTTAAATGCATGAGTCAGACACATTTGGCTGGAGAAATAGTCCATCTAACAGTTGTGTGCTTGGTTGCCAAGCCTTTTCACAGGAGTGAGACTAAATGTGACCTTGTTATGATACAAACCTTGCTCCTTTTCAAATGTAAATTACTTTGTTATCATGCTAACTAGATATTAGTCTCTATCACAACATGGTCAACTTCAGCCTGACTCCAAATCAAAGGCTTGGCAACTAAGTACAAAGCTGTAAATGGCCTATTTACTTTTGATTTAAATGGTAAGAACCAATCCCCTGCCCCCCTTCTCCCAGGAAGGTGAAGCCTCCAGCATCATAATCAAAGGCCATGGGGTCGCAAAACTCACTCTCTGCCAGCAAATCAACCTGAGAGCTCTGAGAACAGTTGTGAGAAATTGGTCAACACTAAGAAATATATATGGATTATAACCCTTAACTCCCATGAGTGACCAAGACAGGATTTCTCCTTACTATATCTATACAATATGCAGACAAGTGATAAGAATAAAGAAAAATATCAATTATGTGATTACTAATTAAGCAAATACCAAATTCTCCAAACTAACATAATGAGAATCATTTGGCAGACAGTAGGGAGAATTACCATTGAGATCTTGGGAGTTAAAGGGTTAAACTATTTCCCTCATAAGCAATCAATGAAAATGCAGCAGATTATGTCTTAGTCACTTCCATTCAAAGACATAAAAGTAGGTTTTGATTAAAAAATATATATATCCGCTGTAATCTTTGCAACTTTTATCCCTGCCTAAGGAGGAACTTTTTAAGGGAACATCTTTTCAGGTGCACAGGATGTCTCTTGAACAGAGGTTCCACTATGAGATGGTTCCTGTCACAAGTGAGTGTTCATGATAAAATGTTATTTCCTCAACAGGATTCAAGATTTAACCAGGAAATTGACAAAAAAACTGGTTACCACACCAGAAGTATTCTTTGTATGCCAATCAGAGATCACTACCATGGAGAGGTAAGTCATTTAAGAAGAGGAACCCTATTGGCAGATAAAGGGAGGCATCCCCATATTTTTTAATCAAAAACAAGGCTTGCAGGATCATGGTGTTCTTTTCAAAGTAATTTTAGTGGCAGTGCCCCTTTAACTGGTGCACTGGTCAGTAAAAAACTGCCTGCCACTTCCTGTGTGTTGTTTTTGAGTTCCCCAAATATCATATAAAGGTTGAGTTTGGTGTTAATTGGTTCCATCTATTTGCACTGAGGATGCTTCACCTGATTCTGAAGTCTTCCTTCCTTCACCAAACCAACCCTCGATTTTCCAATTCTACCCAGAAATGGTGATGGCAAAAAGCCACTTTTTTTAATCCCCATGGCTTTATTTGATTTTGGCAATGAATTCTATGTTTGTTTACCTATATTTTCTTTACCCTCATAGATTATTGGCGTTGCTCAAGTTATAAATAAAAGAGGATTTTTAGATCACACTTTTACCAGAGAAGATGAAAAGGTAAAAATACGTGGTGCATTTTTTATTACTCTTCTTGGGTGAAGTCTGGTAGGGGACAAACTTATGACCTTATTTCCTAATGCTCAGCATGTGATCAATATTGGTTGAATGGTGATGGTGCATTGAATTTTATTTCTTAACTTTTTGGTGTGTCTTGCACACTGCTAGAATTAGCGATGATGAACACTATCCTTATTGCAAAAGAAAAAGACAGATGGTAAAATTTTAAGCTTGGCTGTTGAATAAAGAAGATATTCAATTCAGTTTACATGAGTTTACTGGTAAAATTTAGCCAATCCTGAACCCAACCCTTACCTCTCTCACAGCATATATCATGGAGAAAGTATATTATGCACGTAAGGAATTAACAAGTTTTGCATGATTTAAAGTAAGGTCATCATCAATGACCTCTTTGTTTTGCAGATATTTAGCAAATACTTGGTCTTCTGTGGAATTGGAATTACAAATGCAGAACTCTATGAGAGAGCACAACTTGAAATTAGAAGAAACCAGGTGTGTTATGATTAACCCACTACTACATACCTATCTTGCACAGAGCTCTTAAGTCTCGATCATTGAGCATTAGACTTTGAATTCAATCTTAATTTCTCATGCAGGAAATATTATTTCTCATGCATGTAAGGTTTGTGCTTTAAAATGTTCATTTTGAGGTAACAAACTACAGCTGCTACTTGTAATTTTAATTTATCCTTCTAATTAACATTACTCCATGTTCCCTTTGT